GACGGCACCTACGGCATTCTTGACGAGTTGGGCGCTTATTGCACATTTGTTATCTTCTCAATTTGTGATTGCAGATAGATCTATCTTGGAGATATATGCAAGGGACGTGGATACGAGATCATTTCCCTTACAAGTATTATTACAATATACAAGAGATGCTTTACCATAGGAGGTACGACATGAGTTCCCATCTTTTTCCTCTTTGACTACCGATTGGACTAGAGGTCTACAGTCTATCTTGATGGACCCCATCATTTTCGAGGCTCTACATTCACTCTTAGTAGATCCGGCCATTCCTCATACTACTAGAGCTCGTCTACGCTCTTGCTCGGGCAAGGATGCAGGCTCGTGGATCTTGGCTCGACCATGCATCAGGACTTTCCGACTCGCACCAGCTACTTTCTCCATAACGATGAGGTTCCGTCTTGGCTTGGTCCATCCACCTACATCTTCATTACTCACATGTGAGTGTCGTATCACTTTAGATGCAGCAGGTGTTCATATGACTCGTTGTACATTCGGAGGGCAGAGGATAGCTACCCATGATGCCATTAGGGATGTGGTGTTTGCTATGGCGCGAGAGGGTAGATACCTCACATGGAGAGAGCGTTGGTATGCCTTGCAGTCAACTAGGGTTAGGGCAGACTTGTACTTGGTTCGGGAGGACCAGGTTCTTGGGCAAATGTGGTGGTTCTTGATCCTACTAGAGACACGGTTTTGAGGGGGGTGATCACCCATCCTCCAGGATGGACGGCGAGTGGAGTGGCAGCAACCCAAGGTCTCCAAGTATAGAGGTATGCATAGAGGTCACCTCTTTGTTCCTCTAGCTTTGGAGTTATATCGCGCACTCCCTCACGAAGACTATACAGTAAGCTAAAGAGAGTGATACCCAATGCCGCCTAGTATGGTAGGCTCTCTCTCACTCCCCCACGAACATGTCGAAGTCATGTTCGTGAGGGAGTGCGAGAGAGCCTACCATACTAGGCGGCATTGGGTATCACTCTCTTTAGCTTACTGTATAGTCTATTTTAGGCAACGTGTTTCCATTGCTCTATAGAAACCACTAGCTTCGCAAGCCATAGGAGAGCAATCATGTTAGGTGATGCTTCTCTTATATCTTAGGTGTTGTAGGACATATTTCCCATTGTGATACTATTGGGGTTTGGTTCCATCCTTGTGCGCTTTGATAGGGTCTTCCCATCCCTTTTGTTATTATACTTTGTCCCTCTTCCTTATCCCGGAATGATAGTGGACAGACCAACACTCTCGATCTGCATCATGATACGTTGGAGGCAATCATTGCTTTGGGAATTAGCAACACTTCGTCCGGTGCACTTCGTCTTGAAACCAAGACGAAGTGCACAGGAAGTACAGAAGGAGCAATGCAGCACAAAAACCAACAGAAACCGTAACGCACTGTATTCTCTCCTAATATCTCTCTCTCTCTCTCTCTCTCTCTCGGTTTTAATATCCAAGAATATCTGTGTCTTGTCCACACGTGAGGGCTAGTTTTGCATATATATTATAGGACAAACCGAGGTGCCAACCCGACGGGTGTATCAGCACAGATTAACCATCAATTTTCCAACTATTCTTTAAAGCAAGACAGGGATTTCTTTAAATGGCATCTTTTCAGTGGATTGTCGATGTTGGCACCTGGAAAATCATGCGGTGATATAAAACAGAGTGTGGATTTCATGGTGCGGAGTATAAAAATGCACGCATCTGCTTTTACTTAAAAAGACAGGATCACTCGAACATAAATCAAATCCACCATTCGCCACTTACAGGGCAAAATTTGAATTACAGCTTCGGTAAGTTTCTCCATACGAAGGCAACAGGACGGGGGTCAAGGTATGCCGGTGTGGCATGTTTGAAAAAGGCTACCATAACTTTGATGGCCACGAGTATGCTCTCTACTCTTTGACATACTGAAAACGGTTTTCTCATCTATTTTGAAGGCTTGAAGTAATTTGTGTTGAGACGAGGATCACAAGCATTCGGCCCACCTGTAACTTTGATGCCTTCAAAAGCGGCAACACCTACCAACTCGAGTCAACGGGTCTACTCTACGGAGCACCTTTTTCCCTACTCCATTTGCTACTTCCCGGAGAAGACGTTGGTCTTCCTTGGGGCGTCGATGATGCTTCCGAGGGTGTCAAAACTTGCACCGTCTTCTTATTACCAGGTGTTGCACTTCTCGTAGATGCCGTAGTGCTATACTCACCAAACCTGCCAACACCTTCCATAGGTGGCAGCTCACCTCTAGACTTCGGGCGATTCTGCACCAACTCCAGCTCCTGAAGTATGGCCTCTAGGTACGTGATTCTTTCCACTTTAGACGCCAATTCTGTCTCCAGCTGTACAACCCTGTGACGCAAGTTCTCCTGTTCCATCTGCTGGCTCAGGGTTAATTGGTCTTCCAGACCCTTTGCCAGCGCTGTGAGCTTTCTGGCCGTGGTAGCCCTATGCTGAGACGCACTTCCGTCTGCCAAAGCTCCTTTCTGTTGGTTCAGCTTGATAATCTTCAACTCCCTCCTTAGTTCATTAAGCTCTTTAATCAAAGCCACGTTGTCTTGCATGATATGAAGATGATTTGTATGGTGAGCTTCCATTTCTTTGTGAAGTTTTCTCCGTAGACCAGCAACCTGAATCCAACAGCCGTGCATTCTTTGTTCTGTTTTCAATAACGGCGCATGCTTAAAGTAGACATCTATACTCTTGTGAACTGATCCTTTGGATTATGCCTCCTTTAAATCTCAATTTCAGTTATAAAGTATAGAATGGGAGACAGTGGTGCGCAACAATACCGATCTCTCCAAAAAGTCTCGTTGTCTATTAGTGTCCTTCTCCAGCTCTTCATCAACTGGAAGGAGAGTGACTTTGTCTTCGACGTACTTTCTGAACACTGTTATGACTGCAGACTTCAAAGCCTCAGGATCCTGCAAAAATGTCAGAATTGCCTAAGATCCTGGGATGAGCTCAAGAGACGGGTTCTTACAAGCGTCATGAGGTTGGATCGTATAGATGTCGTTTATTAACCTTTCATTTTCACACCGTTTCAACCTCCTTTCCTAGCCTTCAACCTACTTTAAGCTTGGGTTTAGCAAAATTATTATTTGATGTCGCCACTGTAAACTCATCGCGATATCCGTAAACATGAGTGTACGTCATGGGCATTCCCTCTCCTATTACCAAGTCTAAATAGGCTTCGAAGTTAAAATTCTAAGTTCCAGGTAAAACGACTCTCCTGAAGCGAAAATATTACTGCAGAATTCACGTCGATGTCAAAGGTTGTGAAGAAAACATACGGTTATAAGTTGAGCAAGCTCGTAGTAGTCATGTTGGAAATGTTTAAGCGTAGTTGTGCAGAGGACATTAGCTTGTCTAAGAGCGTCTTCCTCGTTCTGAACGCCTTGGAGTTTCAACTTAAGCTGAGAGATGGCCAAGTCCTTCTTACCGCTCATGGCATGTGACCTGGCACATCAAAGGAGTAACCATGACAATGAGGTCGCAACATGAACAAGCTTGTACGCAGCATGAACAAGCTGCACAATTCGGCATCTCTGTTCTTACGGGGTTTTGAAACGCATCTGGTGTAGGTGCCAATGACAAAGTTTAATATGACTTCTACAGACTGCCGTAATCTGTAAGTAAAATCCTTTCAGAAGCTGTAATAGCAATCAATGGAGTTTACTTCGGGCTGTTTCAACAACCTCTCCAGTTCTACTTCCATCTTCCTTATTTGATCTTTGGCATTTTGTAGTTCGGCTTCCCTGGGCTCAATCTGCTCGCTGAGATCCTTGATCTTGAAATCCAACACGAATTTGAACTTCTCGAGCTCCTGAAATGATTTTCGCAACCGAATTGAAGGGTGTAGTTTGATGGAGTGTCTACGTGTAAGATCCTCAACAAGGCGAAGATAAGCCTGTATATCAACCATCATCTGAATAGAATAATCCTTATTTGACCAGGTAAGAGGAAATAATCGATTCGTTTTATACTGTCACTAACTAACAGTATCTGTAAGGCAATAGGGATGATAATAGGTGTCTTACCAGATTCTTCCGTTTCATGTCATAGATCCTCTTCTCCTTCTCTCCAATCGTGTCATCTCTTTCTTGTACATCTTTTTTCAAACCACTGCGGTCGGCCGGAGACATTAATGTTGCAAGAGGATAAGAAATGTATTATCCAGATTTTTTTCGATTGCTCTTGATAAAATTGTTTCAAAATCATTCTCAACGCGAGCAAGCAAACTAGGGAACCAGCTACTGTAATCGCAGTTTGCGATGGCTCTCTGATTCACTCAATGTCCTGCACTTGAGAAAATATTAATGCCTAGAATCTGGCTCGTGACATTGAAAGGTAGAAACAGTACGCAATGTCTCGTTCCAAGGAGCCAATTATTTCGTAGAGCTCCTTCTTTTGCTGGAACAGCAACAAAAGCTCCTCCCTTTGCTCTTCATTTTCCTTCTGAAATTCGTTGAATTTCTTCTTCATAATCCCGTTCTCACCTTTCAACCTTGTTACGGTCTCCTTTTCTGCTGCGATCAGCGAATCGTACCTGTACACAAAAGGTGACGGTTCAACACACATGTTTTGTGCACCGCTTCACCTAGATAGTATATCAGACAGCTCTGACCTCATGTTCAGTCTATCACAAGCACCAAGACCATCAGGAACAGATATCTTTTATTAAGGCACAAAATTGCCGAAGTAGGCAACGTGAGCAAAGTTTAATTCAAATTCATGAGCATTAAGAAGACTTTGCTCAGATGCGTCCTTTCTTGTAATAACACCTGTTTACTTGGGAAACCTGTTCTCCACGCGAAGTCAGAGATGCATTTTGTGACGATCTAAATGAGCCCCGAAGAAATCTAAAAGCGCCACACCTTAACTCTTAAGGACGTGCAAACTGTCATCCTTTCTACTAATCGACCTTGCCCTTCTTTTACTAGAGACGTAGTCTTCTTGCTGGCCTCCTTAAAGCTGGACAATATCCGCATCGGCCGGGACTTGAACCCGGAAAAGCTCCATGGAAGAGTACTGCCGTGCCCTTCCACCACCGATGCTTTCACTCAGTTGCTGAAGGATCAGCTTCCGGAATTCGCAGGTGGATCAAAGCCGCAAAAAAATTGGACTCTTTTACCAGCGACAGTTGTATGACTGTAAGATATCGTAAAGATCTCATGGGCAACTTACTTCTCTTTCTGATCTTCAATCTCCTTGTCCGTGTCTTCTTCCATTTGACGCCTAATTTCCTCAAAGTCAAGAAGCGCCTGGGCTGCCTCCTCCTTCAATTTCGCATAAGCATTTTGCTGTACCTCCAACTTGTCTTCATAGGCATCGGTTATATCCTGTTCCAAGGAATCCTTCTTTGATAGCTCGCAAGCGAGGATCTCTTCATCACAATAGATGGTGCTGACCGGTGACACTGTTCGTTAAAAGTTACAAGCACAGATGGGACAAATGTAGCAGATCTTTACCACGAGAGCCTTCTCATGTTTATCGGCCATGATAGCACGGTCCTCCACAAATTCCAACCTCTGAAGTTCCTTATCATTTTCCAAAGCAGTGTACCTGATCAAACTCAGATATTAAAATGTTGGTGCAGATGCAACGAAGCGACCCTAGACAGAAGTTGCGCTCGGATGCAGGAAAGGTATTTATTAGTTTTGTATTAGCCGTCACTGGAGGGATAATGTTGATGGAGACGAGTGCAAGGTAAGCTCAGCACACCTTGCAACCTCGACAAGCATCTTCTTTTGATACTGCTCTTCCATTTCTGCCAAGCGAGCCACCTGCAAATCTTCCAGTGCTTTGTACTTATGCTCCAACTCCAACTCCTGCAACATTGCCACTCAAACCTGAAGCTCGGAACATCTTACTTACGAGGTAGTCCTTGAATCGACTTGCAACCCAATTTAGAGAAATTGCCTTTCTTTCCACTTCACTGTGGCCACGACCGAGGTCTGTAACAGAATCAGCAGGCTGAATATCCCACTAATTACCCCACGGACAGGGGAAAGGCAGTAGATAACAACATTTCAATGAACGAAATGTGTAAGTTTCTCAAAGCAGTAATCAGGAGTTCAAAACGATTCCCACCGCCATATCAACGTTTTGCTCCTTCAGGTGCAAACGGCAGTTTTTTCAGTCTCCTGAGCTGGACGGCATATCCGTAAGTCCTCAATACACATTGGTGTAGACACAGTGATGTAGACACCACAAATATAAGAACAGTCTGAAAAAGAAGCATCGCAGTCATATAACCTTGTCATTCTTTTGTTGTATGACTGCCTCATATTTTATTTTACTCTCCATAAAGTCCTTGTCAGAAACATCCGTAAGCTCCTTAATGCGAAGTGCTATTCCTTCGTCCTTGATCCTGATTTGGTATTCACAGTGGGCTTGAACCTCGGTCACCTAAAACGCATAGATGCAGCCGTTAAGCTTTGTACCTCATAAACTTCAATTAAGTTCTGAACTAGTTTGGCTGTTGCCACCAGATTGTGATACGAAAAACTGACTGACAGAAAACCTTCAACTTAAGTTTGCAAGCGATGACAAGGGACACAGGAACATATACTGATATACCTGGGTCTCCAAGTCTTGAACTCGTGCTTTCAATTCTTCCAAATCTGCTTTTAATACAAGCACCTCACTGGTCCATTGGGAAGCGTCCTTTTCATGGCGGGCTACGTGACTTGCAATCGCTTTCTCCTTGTCTCTTATATCAAATATCACTACGGCTCCGTCCTCGCCTCCGCATAGGAGCAAGCTTGAATCAGCTGTAATGACTAGTCGACTGAGTGGGGAACCGATGGCTTGGACCTCGTAGAATTCTCCTGCTCCCAGTACCGGCCTTTCAAGAAACGTCTGAAGAGTTCATAAAGACAGAAGATGACCAATCTACTGCTGACAGGGAGTGGATTCTTAGTACGCCACCCACAATTACGGTAGGGTAACGAGTCCTGACCAAAGTGGAAACGAATAAGCGTGCAGCGAGAGTGACACATGCAACTCATACAGGAACGGATACTTGAAGCTAACTGTCCAAGTCAGCTCAAAAAAGTAATGCATTTTCCACATGCCTGTCAAGGGATATCGACAAGCTCGAACAGCTCCAAACTCCGTTCCGGCAAAAAGGAGACGGCTTCCAAATGGAAGAGCAATTTGAGTAAGAAGTACAGGGAAGAAAAATTCCTGCAATCGGAGAATCACTAATAAGTTCCGACAAACATATTGCTGATTCGAAAAGCATACATTAGCAGCAACTACTGGGAGTAATTAAAAAATCCATTCAGAGCCTAAACATTTAGGACGTATAAAATACCGCGTTGCAGACTGTCACATACCTTGACCGTAGAGTTTTCATCTAACTCCTTCAGCTTATGATCTGATCCGACTGCGAAGAAAGACTTCGAATCCTTCAAGCCTACAACAGAGGTGTAAACACACCCTTTTATAACATTCTCACGAGAACGTTTTAGTTCTCGTAGCTGCCATTCATATATAGCCCCATCTATGCCAGCCGTTAACATAGATGTGTCATCGGGTGACCACCAGATACTCCGTACCTGTACGACAAGACAACGGGCAACACTTGTGAAAGGGGCTTCATATTGAAGTCTTCTACAGCTAAAAGATGTGAAGAAGTAAAAGTTCCCATTCTCGAGCTTAGACGATCTCGGAGGTCCACCTTGAGTCTCTCTTCTCCACAGTCGGTTAAACTGTCTTACACAGCTGGTCTTTCCATATGATCCTCGTAGCAGCAGTTCCCACTCGTGGCTTGCTTGTGGACATCATTGCATTTTAAAACATACAGCTGTGTATTCGACTGATACTCCGCTAGCCGTGCCTAGTTGTGCTGATGTATTGGAGGCTGAATTTAGGTTCAAGGGCTTTAATCAACCCAGAGCGGTCCAAGATAGTAAAGAAGCGAAAGCACAAGGTTGACGGTAGAATGGCGGACAATGATAAAAAATTACATTCAAATACACATCAAAGAACATACCTTACCATTGTGGGCTCGTAGGTTTCCCAGATTCTCAAAACTATAGGTGGAAAAAATGTAGATAACATTACTTTGCACTGCAGCAAAGTACTGTCCACCGTTGCTAAAAGCAGAGTCCTGGCAAGATTTGATGTTGAATTCTTTTGCTATCCGAATGTCATCAATCAGAATGTTCATCAACCGCAGTTTGTCTGTGAATCCCACCAATATATGCAGGCCTGAAAAAAGTGACACACAGGACACATTAACTATGCTGCCACAACGGTTACACTGATTTCTGGTGTTAGAAAGCATACACCTCTGCAAAGTGCATTCGTTACAAATTTCGAATGTCTGAAGTAGTTTTCAATACCAAACAAGGTACTACACTTAACCCGCGAGCAAAAGAAAAATACTCAAAGTTCACGTTACGTTGTTGACCTTGTGCGCTTCAGCCGTCTATCGAGTCTATCGATGGCTCTTCGTTCATACGTCAACACTAAAGTTAAGTTTGGTCGACATGAACCTATGAAACCCATTATTCTTATGACAGTGAGCATGAATCAATAGCCCTTAAGGAATAACAGCAATAATACAGCAGGATAGAATCACCACCTTTCCGACACAATGTTACAACCTTGTAGAGATGAACTGTGGGAGGAGGCACACACCACTGGGGTGTAAAGAGATAGACAAGGCCTCCTGAGGGAAATATTTCGCCAGCTCACAGGTCTTTTCCAAGTAGTTCCATACACGAATACATTTGTCCGTGCTGGATGTTACAGCTAGTGGTTTCCTTTGGCAGACATCCAACCCTGTGATGGCTTCCGAATGAAAGCCCTGCATTCCAACTATGGACCTTACATACAGTTGGCAGTTGCAGACAAATTTTCTAAAAACACTTGGAGTCCAAAATACGTCTTGCCTTCCAATCAACAAATAAGCACCTATTCATGACTACAAGAGATCAATAAATTTACTCACATGCCCAGTGGCCTCTTTGGGAACTTCATCCGGTTTGTAAAACTCCGAATTTTGGAATGGAATCAGAATAATCTGTCGGTTTTTTAATACGCAGACGAGTAACTCTTCACCGGGAGAAAGAGCAATACTGACTATCCTCGTTCCGTTAGCGTCCACTTTAAACGAGCGCGTTCTTTTGAAACTTTCATCGTCGACCTTCTCGAAGATGCCTATAATCGCTCCACTTTCAGCGCTGATAAACCCCTTGGAAAACTGAAGGATAACCTCAACGAAACCAGCTCCTGGCAACCCACCTGGAGGAGATATTGATGACACAATCTGCAGTTGTGGTGAGACGACTTCATCAAGCTTCATACATTTAAAATAATTCAACAAATTGAAGACACTGTGGGTCAGTGCACTGTAACAGTAGGGATTGCGGTACTGCGAGGGGCAGCTCCAGCTGTGGATCAATTCTCCACACGACACTGGAAAACCCATACCTAAAGTACTGAATATGTCGAACACTACGAGTTGACTAAATAAGGATAAACCTAACGAAATTACTTGCCCGCATCTCAAACACGATTACTGTAGAGAGCTTCTCAGTTGTGTTCACAAGGACAGTACTACTACAGATCGCTTACCTCTCCATTTTCGGTGTACAGGACTTCACCATTTTCCAGGGCATAGAGGCACACACTTTCCTCCTTCTTATCACCTTTCTCTTTTTCTTTCTCGACAGGAGCTGAAGGATCAAACAACCATGCATGATTGAGAAATTTGAGTCCTTCTCTCTTTCCTATGCCAGTAGAAATAGGCCTTAGGGCAGAATCAGTTGACCGGAATGATTTGGCAAACCCATCTCCGATCACAGTGATGAGGTTGAGGTCCACAGGGCAGCATTGGACCTGCAAGGAGAAGACAGATATGAAAAATCCAGCCACCAACCAGAGCAAGCGATCCATAATTGACGACTATAAAAGCCCATTTGTCGGGAACAATGTATACTCCTCCGGTAATGATCTGTGTTCTCAGAAAAAAAAGTCTTGCCGAGCACAAGTGTCTGCAGATGTCCACAAGGAAGAAGTAGCGCATATCCAGAAGCAGTGGA